ATCCCAGCATCCACCCAGGGAAATGGGTCTTCACACGAAGCCAAATTAAGGAAAGCCCATCTCCACCACCAGCTGAGCTGCTGGGGGAGGTCAGGTCGCGTTCGGTGTTAGGTTGTTTTGCACATTGTTACTGGTTTTGGCTGGAAATGGGATCCCGAGTCTGTTCTCCCCCCAACCCCAGGCGCTTCACCATCCTGCTCAGCGCTGATAGTGCTGCTGGCCCTGGCGATGCTGCTGAGCGGGGTCCTGCTGTGGCTCAGCCTCAAGAGGAGATGCATTGCAGCAGCCCAGGCTGGAGGTGACAGTCCTCCCTCCCCGTACCCCTCCCCGCCTCCAACTCATGGTCCCCGCTCTGGCAACCCCCAAAACCCAGAGGGATGCGGAGACGGGGATCAGCTCAGCCCGGTGACAGCCCGGTGTCCTCTCCATCTCACAGCCCGCCGGGACCAGAGCGCTTCAGCAACATCCTCCCAGCCCGTGGGGGCCATCTACCTCCCCACCAAGGCAGAAGCCCCCGAGGACAACGACACCGAGATGACGCAGCTCATGAAGGAAGACGCTGCCCCATGATGCCAGCCCACCCCAACCTCGTTCCCCGGGGATCACACCGGGCTCCCCCTGCCCCACCGTCTCCCTAATCCACTCTTCCTGAAGACTGCAAAGCAGCAGCTGACGGGCAGGACATTTCAAAACCAGCTGGTACCAATGACTTAGATCAGAAGCCCCAAAATGGTCAGTCAAGAGGGGTCTCCCAGTCTGGTGACATTTATTTAACCCATCTTGGCACCGTCCGGGCAGCCCCTGCAGCTCAGGAGGAACCGATGAACCTCGTGGCCGGTGAGAGCAGAGAAGCAGAAGGAGGGGTGCAAATTAATTAAAAGGGGATCCCCAACCCTCCAGGCGTGATGGGTGTAAGTACTAGTTGGGACAACACGAACTGCTTTTGTCTCCTCTGCCATGGCTTCCCCCAGACCTTGGATGGAGGCAAGACCCTCCATTTCTTGACCAGCAAGACCCTCCATTTCTTGACCATCCCAGGCACCAGAGCTGCAAAGTGCTTTTCTCCACAACCCCAAATATTCAACCGTCCTCCCCGGATACGTTTTGGGGCAGCCACAGAGCCCCACCTCCCTTGCCCCACGCCCCCAACCTGCGACCATCCCTTGGGGAGCCAACCGTGACGAACCTCCCTGCCAAGGTTCATAGGGGCACAAGATGGGCTCTTGCCTGGTAGCTCATGGTTCTCCGCTGGCTCCCCATGCCTAAAAGCACCCCAGTGCAGAGGGATCCCCCTCTCAGCCTTGGCTCGGGGTCTGTCAGGCTCACAAACTGAGGGCTGTGCTCCCAAAGCACCTGGGGTGATGGGAGGGAGGCCAGGAGACCCAACAAGCAGAGGTCCCAACAGCAGTAGACAACATCTGCCAAGGCAATGATGCCTTGCTTGCCAGAAGGAAATATGGATACTTCTCTCCACCTTCCCCTGAGACAAAAGACATCACAAACCTGGGAAAGGTGCAGAACCAAAGGTTTCTCCACGTTTCTCATTTTTCCTGTGACACTTAAGAGGGGCTGGAGAGAAAGGTTCCAAAATTAGGAGCAAAATCAGAGTCAAGGTTGCTTGGGGTCCACCATATTCAGAAATAAACTGAAAGCCCTCCACATGAACCCCAGTGTTCCTCACCCCAGGTGAATCTGTCCCCTAGATCCTGCCTGGGAAGCTCCAGGAGCTCACCAGGTGCTGGAGGAAACATCTCAAGATGGATTGGAAAAGCTGGGCAGCTCCACCACGAAATCATCCCCCCAAGCCACAGCTGAGAGGCGCAGGGGGTCTGCAGGACATCCGAGCGGCACAAAACCTGAAATAATTTCCTCCAGCAGTGAGGCCATCCCTTTCCTTGCCAACTACCAGGCTGGTGTTGGCCATAAGATAATCACTTGGTGACCTTATCCATCGCTTGCTGACCACCATTGCTTGCTGATCATGCAATGCATGATCCCAGCACGTGAGAAAAGCCTTAATTCCATGACGGGCATCTCTGGGAGCAGCCACCCAGGGGCTTGAACCACCAGAGATGGTCCTCTCCCCTCATCTGAAATGAGGCAGATCAGGAAGGTAAACCAGCCTTTGGCCTCCAGGATGCCAAAGGCTGGAGATCCCACAGGGGCCCTGTCCAACCACAAGAGCACAGAGTGTAGCTACCACCTACCTGGTGCCACCTGAGATGCCCTCAATCACTCCAAATACTCATAGTGGGGATGGCGTATAGGACATAGTGCCTGTAAGAGATACAAGCTCTCCTGCAAGAGGAGCTGAAGGCCAGCTGGGTACCCCAGATCATCTCTGATGGCCTCAGCAGTTGAATACAACCCCAGATCTTCATCAACCATTTTGGAGCACTTGACTGGGCTGCTCCTACACAGGCAACATGTATCACTGGAGGTGCCTTCAGGTGTGCGAGACACCCACAGAGGCAAAAATGTGACATGGAAGAGACCTGGAGTGATATAAATGACACTACGTCAGCAGCTACCTCCTGCCACCAGTGCCATCAAGTGTCTTTCACATCCCATGTCCCCACATTTTTCCTCTTTTATGAGAATCTCCCCCTCTGCTCAGGACCATGAGTTAAAGGAGGGTGAGCTGTGGGGGGATACGGCCTAACGAGTGCTACTTCTGCTCTTGGGTTGGGGTGAAGGCGTCTCCACCATTACAACACACATCATGTAGGTGCTTCATGGTCAATACAACACCTCCAGCATCTCACCAAGCCTTGAAGGGTGAAGGACCACCACCATACAGGCAGTCTATTCCCAAGGTTTCAGGTGCAACCCCACTTCTCAGGAGACACATGGACACAGCAGATCCCAGCATGGGAACCTGCTGAGATGTGTCCACCACCAGCTGAGCTACAGAGGAGGTTCAGGAACAGGCTCAACCCAAAATCAAATCACAACCTCACGACCCACAGCCAGAAACAGAGTTTGGAAGAAGCCAGAGCTGCCCCAGTGCTGTCTCAAGGGCTGAAATGGGAGGAAGCTGGGAAGTTGTGAAGCAGGGGAGGAGGCCAGCACAACCAGGAGGCCCACAACACTCCTCACAGGGGAAACCACCAGCCCAAATCCCAACTACAGCTTGCTGGCCCATCTTGCAGGGCACAGGCTTGGCTGTGCCGAGTGAGATCCACTCCGCACGTGGGATATGGCCAGTCTCTCCTGACTGCAGCTGCTGGCAACATGTGCCAGGTGACCTCCCACCCACATCTAAAGGACCCCAGGAGAAGGTGCCGGGTGGGAAGGAGGTGAGATCACCAAGGACTGTACCAACACCAAAAACCCCCAGGCAGACACAGAAGCAAGCTGGAGGAGGCGATGAGGCAGAGCCGTCGTTAAATAACCATCCTGTAATTAGAGTGCAGAACGCTGAAGAGCCTGCACGTCCCACCCCCTCCCCGTTCCCAGTGCTACAGGGATCATATGAAAAGGGGGGGACTGGGGGGAACCTGGGATCTCTAGGAGTCCGAGGGACGGCACAAGGGCACCAGCATGGCTAAGGACAGGGCTCCTGTCTCACCCTTGCGAGCAAAGGTCCCCGTGTCACCCTCTGCCCAGCAGCCACCAGCCAAGACGGGACACATCCAGGCTCCGGGGGTAGCTCCAGGAAACGAGAGAGGAGGACGATGCAGAGGACTGGTTGTGTCTTCCTTGCCCGTACCCCATCCAGATTCCTGCCTTGAAAGTCCCAGGAGCAGCTGGAGAAGAACTTACAGCTCCGAGTGTCACTTGCTGAGGCTCCCAAAGTGGACAGCAGCAGCGTGTGTGTCCCCCACCCTTCCTTCTTCTGCTCCCTACCAGTCCCACCAGCGCCCTGCGGCGGAAAAAATAGGGGGCAATTAACCAAGTCATTAGCAGCAGCATGAGATATGGACGGGACACCTGAACCTCAAAAAGGCTTCAGGGGGAAAGGGAAGTGCCTGCTCCTCGCTCTTCCTCATGATCCTTTCCACCGCCCGTACCGTTGTCGTATCTTCCCTCCCAGAAGACCTCCCAGGGAGGTCTGTCCCCTCGTGCAGGCACCAGCACGCCCCTGGGAGCCCCCCGCCCAGACTGAGCCACGCTCACTGGGATGACTGGGGAGGGGGATCTTGGGATGACTTAGGAGGGGCTCAGCCCTCCTCCCCACACGAGGGCAAAGAGGGCTCCTGCCTGTTCACCAGCTGTGGGCCACCAGCCAGGAGCTTGCAGCCGCCTCGGCCCACGGGCTCGGGGAGGGTCCTGCTGGCATCACCCCCCACGGAGGGAGGCAAGGCGCAGGTCCACGTTCGGCAAAAGGGCTGGGACTCTGGAGAAACGCCGCAGCTTTTCAGGGGTCCACGCCGTACGAGGTCCACCAGTCTGTTGTCGGTGGTGGCGTGTTGGCAGCGCGCTTACGGCCACCGCAGCCTCGTGCACGGCCAGGTAGGCCAGGTCCTTGAAGAACTTGTGGCAGAAGCTGCACTTGTAGGGCCGCTCCTGGCTGTGGACGCGGTGGTGCTGGAGGAGCAAGGAGGGCCGGGCGAAGGCCTTCCCGCACACCTCGCACTTGTAAGGGCGTTCCCCCGTGTGCGCCCGCTCGTGGATCACCAGGTAGGACGACTGCTTGAAGGCTTTCCCGCAGGTTTTGCAGACGAAGGGACGCTCCCCGGTGTGCACCCGCTCGTGGGAGGAGAGGGCGTTGGACTGCTTGAACCCCTTGCCGCAGAGCGGGCAGACGAAGGGGCGGTCACCCGTGTGCACCCGCTCGTGGACCTTCAGGCTGTGGCCGTAGGTGAACTTCTTCCCGCAGACCCCGCAGACGTGGGGTTTGTCGTCGCAGTGCTGGCGCTGGTGGAGGAGGAGGGCGTTGGAGGTGGGGAAGTCCTTCCCGCAGTCGGCACACTTGAAGGGTTTCTCGGCGCAGTGGGTGAGCGCGTGGCGCTGCAGCTCGTAGGGGGTCTTGAAGCTCTTGGCGCAGCGAGGGCAGCGGAAGGGACGCTCGCCGCTGTGGATGCGCCGGTGCTCTTGGAGGTTGGAGGAACGCTTGAAGCGCTTGCCACAGAGCTCGCAGCGGAAGGGTCGTTCCTCCGTGTGGACCAGCCGGTGGCTTTTGAAGTCCGAGTGGCGCTTGAAGGAGGCCTGGCAGAGGTCGCAGCGAAAGGGACGCTCCTCGTTGTGTACCACCTCATGGCTGAAGAGCTCCCAGGCCCGCTTGAAGGCCTTCTCGCAGACACCGCACTGGAAGGGCTTCTCGTCTACGATCACCTCTCGGATCTCCAGCTCTCAGATGCCGCTCGCTCCCCGCTTTGGGTGGGCCGGCAGCCCCACCGCCGCCTCCTCCAGCTCGCCCACCGTGCTCCCCAGCACCAGCTTGGCAGTGGAGTAGATGCCGCGCTCGTCGATCAGCTGCACAAAGTCCGGCTTGGGACGGGCATCATCGGAAAAGGGCAGCTCAGGTGAGCAGGACCGAGACCGTCTCTCCTCCTCTTCCTCACTGCTCCGCGGCACCTCCTCCAGCCCGTTCTCCATCGCCCTCGGTCTGAAGTCACCCGTCCGGCCCCAGATCAACCGCAGCCTCTTCCCTCGGGAAGGTCCCGGCTCTTCAGCGCTCTCCCCCAGTCCCGGAGATGCGGGAGCCCGGCTTGTCTCAGGCTTCAGACACAACCGGTGCTTCCCGCGGCCCCGGCGCCGCTCCTCCATGGGAAAGCCTCCTCATCCTCACCAGTCTTCTGACCAGGCCTGCTTGCACCCCGAGGGGTGAGAGAGCCCTGCCCAATGCAGCACCATCCCGGGCGGCACGGAGAAGCTCGCCCCAGCTGCGCCAGGGAGCCTTCCCCCGCCTCTTCTCCCGGCTGCGCCCCAGCTGCGTCCTCCTCCGGTTCTTCTTCACCTTCAGGCCCATCTCCTTCAGAAAGGGGGGAGAGGCTCTGGGAAAAGGGGAGCTCACAGGCCGGAGGGCCCGGCTGGCCTTCCATGGCAGCCCCTGCAAAAATGAGAAAGGAGATGGTGTGAGAAGAGCAACAGGCGAGAGCAAGACGGGGAGGGAGGAGGCACAAAGACACGGGTGTCAGCAGCGCAGAGCGAAGTCGGAGAGAGATACAGATATATAGGAGGGGAGGGAGACTCCAGAGAGGAAGAAAAGGAGGAGACACAGCCACTACAGAGAGTTTGTAAACCCCAGCAGCGCCAATCCCTTTCCTCTTCGGGCGATCGAGGTGGCAGGCAGTCTTAGTGCCAGAGAAACAGCCCACAGCAGCACTTTTCCAGACTTTTCACCCGTGACCTGTTGCTAGCACCCAAAACCAGCCACTACGCACAACGGGGAGCGATTTGCTTCCTCCCAGGGCCTGCTCATACTTACCTGGTCAGAGCAATAACCAAAGGACGGGGCTCAGTTGTGTCCCCAGCCATCGTGGGCCGTACCGTGGCAGCTTCCAGGCAGGGGTGTGAAAAGCTCCTTGGAGGGTGCTTGGTGTCCCCGGGTGCGTGCGCTGTCAGCCCTCCTTTGGGCACAGGCGGGACGCACAAAGGGATTCAGTTCCCAGCTCCTGGGGATTCAACTCTCTGCTCTGGAGTGTATCAGGGTGGTTTTTCAGATCAGCCTCTCAGCAAAACGCTCCTCTCCTAGGCTGGCATTTTCCCAAGCTCCATCCAAGCCCGCTGATAACTCCAGAACCCGTCCAGCGGTTGCACAGCTCGGCAAGAGACACCGGGCTCGGACATCCACCTCGGAGATCCCCTGGGCTGGACCTGCTGTCCCGATTCGGGACATCGTGCGTGGATCAGTTTAGCCAAGAGAGGGGAAGAAGGCTACAGCACAATCCTGAAACCCCACGAGAAATCACACCCCGCAAGGGCCTGATGCACAGGCGAGAGCGACCAGCTGAACCAAGGAGTTCTTCGTCGCCAGCGGCTAAATTCGGGTGGTTCAGTCTCACCTTCCACGTCCGGAGACATCCCGGTGAGAGGCAGCGGGGTGGGAGGGAGGTCAGGAACAGCAGAGGCTTCAGGAGCCTCCAAGCCCCATGTTGCACAGAGGAGCGTGCTCCCACCGACCCGACGAGGAAGG